CCTCCATCCTGCTAGGTGTTAATCATTAGTAGGGGGTGGAAAAGACTGGGGAAGCTACATTCCCTACAGTCTGATTTTCTCCCTCTCGGACCAGCATGGCAGCAGCTCTACTTCCTCCTTAAAGACCCATGAATAACATCAGGAAGATAGAGAGTACACACACAACGACACCACACACACACACACACACACACACACAACAACAACACACACACACACCACACACACACAACACACACACCACACACAACAGGTACCCACACTGCGACTGTAAACGATTAAGGTAGTATTAATGGCAAGCAGGTGACTTTAACTGTTGTCCGTGTAAAATCCGGAACCTGAGCTGTGGGCGTGTTGCATTAAAAACTTGTGGTTAAACTTTAGCATGTCTCAGGTGCTTTGAACACATCCTCTGTGACACAGATACAAGCTCGCTAGATGGCTTACAGCAGGTCCGAAGGAAAGTGACCAAAGGCCTGCAAAGGCTCAAAAGTGGAGAAGGACGCAAAAATCTTTCATCCTTTCAAAACGTGTTTAGGTTTTAATTGCTGTAGTATGAGTAAGAGCGAAACCAACTTTAACATAATGGCCATTAATGTCGAGGATTTCGCTGCTGTTTATATGTTACAAGTCATACTGAACTATCTTAATGAAATCTGTGATCTATCCTATTTTTATGACTAATCATTAATCTGGACTTGAGGATTACCTGGTAGAATGAACAACAACCAGAAAAAACTAATACGTATTTGACATAATAATAAATAAGTTATTTGCCCGCCTAGACTCCTTGTTTTCTCTAAATTCCGCCCTCTCACTGATAACTTATCAAATTGATTTTAATTTCTCTCATACAAGCTTTAAAATATTACACTGAATCAATTCGATTTTGGAATTGTTGCATGTACAGAAGCAGCAAATAACGAAACGAATACCCACTCTTGAGACCTTTACCACCACCTTTCCTTCAACTGTCATTTACGCAACCAAAACACGAATTAATTAACTTAAGGATCCATCGTTTGTTGCAGCCCCTAATAATGACTAACAAACTCTAGCATGTTAAAACGCAGTCACCACATTCATTAATTAGGCCGCTCTTTCCTTCATTGGCCCTATTTCTGCGTTTCTATTACATAGCTACAACATACCTAACCACAACATGAGCCAGTACATTTACTTTAAAAACAAGGCCATAAAAAAACTACGTATCAAAAAAGGCACGCTCGTAGTAAGAACAACCAGGAACCGAGCTGGTGGGATTCCTCCAGGAGGATGCTCCCGGCAGCAAGCGATATTTGCAGGTGAAGCAACCATGCGGCACTCACTCCTCGTGAAACCTGGCATTCCACACATGCACTGGGCATTCCTCTGCTCTGCTCCGTCCGACGTACAGCTAAATTAGAAGCGAAGTGTAGAGAAGGACGGTACAGAGGAGGAGAGTGAGGAGGGCTGGCCCCATGTGCCACTCCGGCGTCTAGAACCCCGATGCCGTGAGTAAACTCAGCAGCCCCTCTAGGACCAGATATGGAAGAAAATATCGATCCACCTGTGAGCGCTCAAGCAGGACATGCAAGAGGTTCCCGACTAGAGGTGCCCTACTCTAAGGCTCTCCACAACCCCGAGCACTTAGGAACCCATTCCATTCTCTACCTCGTCCGCTGCCCACAGCCCCCGATGGCGATACTGCCCCTTAGCGCTCCACCGCTCTACAACACCCCCGTACGTTCACACAACCCGCTCCGAACTCCTACCTCAGAACAACAATCACCGCACGCACACAAGCGAACGCCCCCTGAGGCAACGCGGGAAATGCACATGCGAGCTTCCACCAAAACATAGGCTCGTCAAACACACCCCCAAACATCTCAATACACTACAAACCCACCACTAGAATCCTACCCATGCCTCACTCCCAGCTTTCCCACCACAACCCACCCCAACAAACACAAAAACAACACAGACCACAACCAATCCAGAAAAACTGTCAGGGGGGTGAATGAACACAGGGACTGCAGATGACTGCTATCAGGTCTCCACCGGCAACACAGCGCAACCACCATCCTCGTGGGTGGCTAAACAAGCGAGGAGCAGCCTCGCTCCGCGGCGCACACAAACGCTCTCGCTGAGCACGCAACCGGTCACGACCTCGTACAACGAGCACGGCCCGACACGTAGTACGCAATGCAACTCCAGAGACTAGCACGCTATCAACACACCACAAATGCGGGACGGAACCAACCGAGTTACAGCGATCTTCCCCACCCCACCAAAACCTCCATGTTCCCCATGTTAGCAGGCTGCACTGACCATCATCAATCAAAAATCAGGAAGATGAAGATGTAGAGTAGTGGAATATAATAGGCGTAGCAGTGAGAGAAGGTGTAGTGGACATTTGTCCGAAACAACAGGATATTACAGTGCACATTTGTACAGAGGGCCTTTTACAGAGGAAAACCACGATACAATAGGCGAGACAAAGGACGCTTCCGATACTTATATAATAAACAAAGCCAAGCCTACATGAAGCTAGACCTGATGCAAAGGATGGCGGAGTCTATATGAAAAAACGAAGAGCAGCTACCTTTCAAAGCAGTAAAAATAAAGTGAGACATGCTCCGTCGAGCCGACAATTGTAAACATACCAAGTTTTCCTGCCTCCATCATTTAAAACCCATGCCCCATTGACACATCAACAGGGAATCCTTGAAGGTTGAACTGAGCCGTAAGAATCCCTCTAGTATACAGGTCGTTAGGCAAAAGTCTGACAAAAAAAAAACAAATGTCTTGACTTTTCTTTCCCTTATCTTGATATGGTGACCACGCAGCGACATACTCAGATAAGTTTGTCTAAGTTATATACCCAAACCTCAGGTTGTTTTTCTACCCCCCAATGTGAATAGGAGAAGAGGGTGAGAAAGGGAGGGAGGGAGAAAGGGAGGGAGGGAGGGAGCTGCAGCCTTACGTCACTTTATTCTTGCTCAGTCAGAATGCTTTATTCATTCTTGATGTGTGATTTTCAGACAAGACAGTTTAATGCCTGCTGTGCGTAAGCGGCACCATCTCGAGCCGCACTGTTTACATGCTCAGTGTGAAGCCTGAATATCAGCCAATAAATCATAGTCTGGGTCTGTTTGTGTGTGTTTGCTCCTGGCGAGCACTGACCCCGCCGTGACCTGACACACTCTCTGCCGTCCTTGGTCTTTGTACAGTAGATGTCCTTGAAAGTGTGCGTTGTTTACTCGGCGTTGGGATTTTATCATCCTGCTGTAAAGCTCTCCAGTTGATGAGAAAGGGGTAGTAAAGGGAGTAAGAGATCCTTGTCCTTGTGGGTCACTCCTTGGCTGCCGAGATAGCTCTTTATCCATCACCCCGTCTTTACTTTACCGTACCGACCCCCTCGTTTCTGCTCAGTCTGTCTCCACACTCGTTCCTGATCCCCACACACGTAGACGCCTGAGCTCAGACCCCCGTCGCCTTTGGGTTGTAAACACCGCCGAGGCTGCCCAGAGGGCTCGGAGCTGGCGACATCAATCCTAACGCTGCCGTGAAATCACGAGGGACAGATGATCCCACCTGGAAGGATAGACAATCTCGGTCACCCACCACTAACGCTCCTTATCCCGTGTCTCTCCGTAATGTCTGAGTGAACTGTAGAGGCAGTGAGTGATGTTGGTTAAGAGCAGTAAGCCAAGTGTTCAGGAGGGGAGTTCCTACGACCGATTTCCAGGAATTAATGGAGTGCAGTGGTGGGCAGTTTAACCGAGCGGTCACAACCATCGCCTGTGAATCATTCTGCTTCAGTTTGTGGCCCTCTGCCTCACTATCGTGCGGTCTTTTCTCTCTCTTGTTTTCGCTCTCTTTCTCACACCCACAATCATGCTGTACAGACAAACACGCACACACACGAATGTGAGAGACTGCGAGACTGTGACTCACACACACAGCAGCGTTTGGGGGGGCTTTCTCACCTTTTCCTACTTCCGTTAAAAGTCTGGCGTTCTCTAGAGTGTTCCTCTTTTTTTTCAGTTCATAATCAAAAAGGAGGGAGTGGGAGTGATTTAACTTAATGTCTACTAAAGTTTACGATTAGTGCTGAAACAATCAGTGGATTATAAAACAAACTTCGGTTCCAGCTTCTTAAATGTGCCTTTCTGTTATCTTTAGGGGTTTGGACTGTTTGGTGGACAGTCTTAAAGAAATTGTGACATTTTGTAGACTAATTAATGATAATTATTTAACAGTTGTTAAATATTTACTCATTATTATGAATATCTAATTCAATTTTTGTGTGTTTGTGGAGGGAGTCTCAATATTGGTCTCCTGTCGTCAAATTCACTACCTTCACTTTTGGTATCCAGTACTGTTTTTATGATTTAAGCAAAATCTCTGTTTTCTTTGTGTGTGTGTGTGTGTCCCATACCTCAACAGGTTACCTGGTATGGGTATGTGACTGAATGGATGTTTTAATGACAAAGAGAACTCATTTAATGTGGAATTTCCAATAAAGTACTCAATAAAAATATATGCATATTTGTCCTCCCTGCAGGGACATCATGATCACTCATTTTGAGCCGTCCATCTCATACGAGGGTCTGTACGGGGAGGTGAAGGACATGTGCTCCATGGACAATGACCAACTTTTCACCATGAAGTGGATCGACGAGGAAGGTACGTCCCCCTTCAGCTCTTTCCTCTCCATCTTTCACCGTTTCCCTTCACCTGTGCTTCAAGAGGAGACGTAAGAGATCAGCCATAGACGCTGGAGTGTGTTTCAAAGTTCACCTTACAGGAGAAATGTATTTCCAAACAAATATTAAGTCATGGTAACGTGGCATCATCAAGTAGATTAAACAGATTCTGAGGCCGTCGGCTACATTTGGCAGTGCCATGTGTGAATGTGAACGAGTGCTCACAAAAGCACACACTGCCTCGTCACTAGACTGTAAGACTTGTCAGTCAAGAAAAGACGCCCCCAAAAACCCACCTCCACTACCACCCGGTTACTTGTTATTGTCTGTCAGTTACTCAGGCAGCAGTAATAGTGTCATAGGAAAGATGGAGCCGTCACATCGCTCGGCTCAGGATAAGGTCAGCCAGCCCAAACTCATTAGACTCAGATCAGCTCGCACTGGTAGCCACTAACATACAATCACTGGAGTCATTAGTGTGTCTGAGAAAGAAAAGCTGCTTGGTGGTCGTAATGAAGTACTCCACGCAGTGGTAGCTGGCTCTCCTTCTGCCCCATCCAGGGAAACCACACAATGTGAACTCACATCATTATCGCAATGGTTAGAAAATGTAATTAATACTATTGTAACCCTGGTTTGAAGGCTACGAAATACCAGCAACAGGTCAGTGTTTCTTCTGATTCTACACTTCCTATCTTATAAAATGTTTAGTCATAATTAATAAGGCAAACAACAACTTTTAATGAACATTTAAACTGTATGCACCAAAGGCAGACTAACATTGATAGATTTAAAGTAGAACCCACCAATTAGAGTTGACATAATTAATGGATCAGTCAGCCAATAGAAAATTAAACTGGAGCTATTTTGATGATCACTTACTTGTTTCACACATTTTTCCGAACAAAAAAAATGCCAAATTTTCCCTCATTTCAGTTTCTAACTTTAGAAAATGTCCTGCTTTTCTTTGTCTTTTATGATCATAGATTGAATGTCTTATCACAGGTATATTTCACTATTTTATAGACCCAAATGATTAATAGAGAAAATATTTGACAGGTCAATCATCAATGAAAATAATAGTTTGTTGCCGCTCCACTGATGATACACTAACCTATCACACATCCAATATTGGGATATATAGTTGCCAATATGTTGCTGGAAATATCAGGACAGAAACGGGATGTTTCTGACAGAGCAGTCACATAATGTGTGTCTATATCTCTATATCTCTTATATTTAATATAATATTTAACAACCCTGATTAGACGACGTAAAAGTAAACCATGTAATACTTCCAGTAAAGGATTTTTTTCTGCCGTCAGGAATATGTATAGAAAATCAACACGGTCAAAATGATTTTCTCTGTTTTGTTTGTAATTTTTTTTCTCCTCGTCGTCTGTGACAGCGGATTTATTGGCTGATTGACAGATGATTCGTACCCCGGTCTGTTTCTGCAGCAAAGACGTTGGGGAGGAAAATATATATTGTCACATATTCGAGCCAATATGCCGTGTTGGATGTGCAGCAACACGTTTTTTTTCCCAAGGCGCATATGTGCTCACAATCCACAGATGCTAAAGTAAAAATATTGAATAGGGGGAAACCAAACCACACCAGGAGAAACTGCAAAGTTAAAGAGACACATTATTCCATGAAGAGGAAAAAGCTTACAGACTTTACTGACATGAGGACCATTTTTAATGTAAATAGTTCTTCTCGGCTCCTCTTTGTATTTCCTTTATAACACACACAGAAGTGGCTTCACATCACAAACTTAATGTCACCTCCTTTTAAAAACAACCTTTGAGTAAAACCACACGCGTTACCCTTTGACGTGATGGCTGTCGCAGTCCACCCACGGCCTCTGTGTCTGTTATCTAGTTTTATTATCTGTACGCTGTGTGTCATAGTTTCTGCTCTGGAGCTATTAATTAAAGCAGAGGTTTGTAGTTGTGATTAGATAGGTAGGGCGCCGAGAATAGAGTCACGCTGCTTCACCGTGTGTGTCACGCCAAAACCCGACTCAATCTGATAATGATTAGAAAATAATTAGGTATATGTCGGAGTGGTATTTTAATTATTGGCTTATATTGATCACTGTACAATTAAAGCTGAATTAAAAACTGACATGGCAACATCAACTGCTGCAATGTTCTCGCCCACACCCACACACTTTTCTTTTTTTATGTGTACATTAAGTTCATATATTTAAATTCATATCACGCCTGCCATGGTTTTTTTTTAGTTTATTTTTAACTATCATGCAGCCCTACTGTATAACTCAACTTTTGCACTCACAACCTTTTGCCATGGGAACTGGAAATACAGTATATGCAACATTTAATTGTCTCTGCTTTGTTATTGATTGTTTTTGTTGTTCTGTGCTTTTTAAAAGTAACCTGGCTGTTGCTGATTTTATGCAATTACCTAAACTCTTAAATGTCACGCAAATGAGAAACCAGGCTCTCATTATCAGGGGTTTTTGTTGCAGAAAAGTGAGAGAATATATTATCCTAAAACTTTGCACCAATACAAGCACCTAATGAGGAGCAGAAAAGGGTTTGGATTGTTAGCTGTTCAATATGATTAAAAAGATAAAACAAAAAGAAACTGTAGCAGCAGTGTGAAGGGATAACAAGAAAGGCTTTTTTTAACCTGTAGCAGTGTGTCCTTATATGAAGGGATGTTTTATTTTCAATTAATCAGTCTATTCTTTTCTTGATTAATGGTTTTCTCTATAATATGCCAGAAAAGACCTGAAGATATTTAGTTTCCTATCATGTACAACAAAGAAAAGCATCTCTTTCAGCATTGTTTGCTTAGAATATGACTGTGAAACCATTATATGATTATCAAAATAGTAATTAACAAATTATCAATCAACTAACTGTTACAGTGTCGGTGAAGTCGGTTGATACGTTTCTTTTCTCACCTTGTAAGAAAAACCTGTGTGTCGTATCTCACCAGGAGGGTTCAAATATGACAGCAAGTAAATGCAGCTTTTACAGAAACAAGTTTAGTGCAGAAGATGTAAAAAGAAACCATTCTCTGATTGCCGTCCGTCACCTGGTGTGTATTTATATGTGGTGAATGACATCTGGTGTCTCTTCTGCTGTTAGGTGACCCCTGCACCGTCTCGTCTCAGCTGGAGTTGGAAGAAGCTCTGCGCCTCTACGAGCTCAACAAAGACTCAGAGCTCATTATCCACGGTGAGCCTCACTGCTCCTCACACAGCAGCATTTAGAACATAACATATATACAGTTTCAGGAT